CTCCAATGGATCCTGAAACTGTCAGCAAAACCTCATAACCTCATGACCTCATTTGACTGAGGGAAATGTTAATATAATGACACATGCAGGTAAGTGACCATATATAAAAACACAATACCAAATTTAACAACGTGATGTTGAATTGTTTTAGGTATACAGGTTTTTTCATTTTCTGAAAAGTAGCATTTCTGGAGATACAAGGTTTCCGCCCGACAGCAACGATAATCTATCTATACATGTATTTTATAACAAAATTAAATAAAAACTCTAGCACCCTAATTCTGTGATTAGACTCACCAGCTTGATCTCCCCATTGCCCACGATGGTGCTGAACTCACTGAGGTCCCTCATCAGACCATTCAGGACATCAGCAATGCGTTTCCTCTGCTGACCACTCACTTCCTGCATACGAGACAGCTCTGCCTCCAGCTCCATCAGACTGGCCTGGTACAAAAAACAAGTGAGGAAGAGAGTGCCACTAAGGATTAGTGAAGCGCCACCTTTTTCAGACAACAAGCACATCCCCAACAAATGACCACAGCCCTCCACCTGAAAATGTTTTGAAATGTTTAATGAGCATCTCAGTCCAGATATCAAAATACACAGGGATAAACACTAACCTGGTGATGGACGTCTTAATGTCTGGAAAATTCCAGAAACATTGTGGCTTTGTATAAAGTTGAATTGTGCAAGATTTCAACAGAGTCAGACTTACAACCCCTGAGTTACAGCCATTTAAAATAATCAGGATTCTAACACCACCCAGAGGTGAAATGCCATCAAATTGTCCTAGATTACTCAGCAATGAGCTAAGTCTAATTTAAAAAAACCAATGCCTCTACTCTGTGACTTGATTGCCATGTAAGTCCTGCAATATTTTCCACTCATGAATAGCACAGTGCTACAGAAGGTGCTTGTTATTGTAAATTAGGGGCCTTCTGTTCCACCTTCTGTCTCTGTGTTTAGCTCTTGTTCAGTCAGTCATGAAATTCCTCTAAAAGCGTACCATTTTCTGGGCCAACTGGTCGGCCAGCAGCTGGTTCTGTAGGCCTTTCTCTTCCACCTCCTGACTCTTCTGGTCATAGTTGATGGCCAGCTCCTCCAGAGCCTGCAGCACCTCCTTCACCTCAGCCTTGGCGCAGTCACTCTCCACCTGCAGCCTGCCGAGCTCAGCCTGGACCTTGTCCCCATCACCGCGGGATGATGCCAGGAGCTGGATGTAGCACAACATGGTGTTTGTGAAAGAAGGAGAAAGACAGAGATGGTCAGTTTGAAATGACTGGCAAGTGACTGAGAGCTAAACAGGTCTGTGCGTGTTTTGTGCATATGTGTAAGTTTGTGTACCAACCTCATCCTGGTCTAGCATCTGCTGCTTCAGTTTCTCCACCAGCTGACACTGCAGGTTGATTTCATCATCCTATAACACAATATAAATACCAGCCTCACTGCCACCCACACTCAGTCAATGGCATGTGTGTATGAATGGCAGTGACAAAGAAAATTTCAAAGACCTCCATCTCCTTGTTCCATGATTGCTTTCTTTATAAATCCCTAATTACATTTCAGTGTATAACATATGAGAAGGACACAATAAAATACCCTATACCTTTGATTGTAAATATTGTAGTTACAAAAATAACATCTGCATCTTTGAACTGTCTCAACCTTGTCATCCAGCTGCTTGTACAGCTTGCGGATCTCCTCCTCGTACTTCTGACGCTCCTCCTCAGAAATGCGAACCACAATGGAGGAGGTGTCATTATCCAAAATGGGGCGCTCCTCCACGGGCTCAAAACGGGTCACCACTTCTGAGTTAGTCTGCTCCGTCTCAGGCACGTCCTCTCCTGAAGGGGAGAGATGAAGGGACAAAGTGGACAAATACATGAGAATAATGCAAGGCTGCTTACAGTGCTAGCACAGTAGAAACACTTAATGCAGTTCACCATTTCTCCAACGGCTGAGCTCAGCCTCCAGCCTCTGGATGGTATCCTTCAGCGTCTTGTAAAACTTATTTTGTGGTTTTCTTACTGTTTTCTGAGTTAAAATCTCAGGTATAATTAATTTCTTTCCAAAGAAGTAACGAATGAATCCACAGATGGGTCTACCACTGCCCAAACATCAGACTTGACTTGGTCCCACTTCAAAATTAGTTAAATTCTTCTTTCTATTCCTTCTGGCAAGTACATATACTTCTATAGCCATCACTGTGTGATATAATGAAGTGTAAAGGTGTGGATTTTAGATCAAACCCAAAATATTGTAGGTCACCATCCTGTGTTTAAAAGAGTTTGATCCCTGCTAAAATCTGTCAACATTTCCAGCTCTATGTAGAAATAAATATTCTTTTACAAAAATCATGCTTTCTTTCCAAAGATGCATTGATCAACATGGTAGAGAGCTACCGTTGTCCAAACATCAGGGTTGACTTGGTCTCAGTGTCGTTGTAGCTAGAGGGAGAGCAGCAGATGAACATGGTGGTGCGACAGTTCCCGCCGAGGGAGTCCTGCAGAATGCGGGTCATTTTGCTGTCACGATATGGCACGTGACTTTTCTGTAGGAGAGAGGGAAGAGAGGAGGAGGGGATGGTGAGAGAAGTAGCAGCAGAAAAGTATATTCAGAAATGGACAAGATAAGAAAGGAAGAAGATGAGGAAAAAGGGAAGAAGGAAAGAAAGGAAGACAAAAAATATATATATAGAGAGAGTAAGAGAAGGGAAAGCAGGAGACAATCAGACAGCCAAAAATAAAACTCCCAAAGGTACTGTATGTTTCATTTGGTGTCTAATTTAAAAATGAAGACTTTCCCATTCCTTTCACTTTTTTTAGATTTCTTTACATACTTTCTTTCTTTTAGATTCTAACAAACCCCAAATGCTATTGGATGAGTGAATGCAGGATGCACTTCATTGAGAAGTCAACAGCAAATGCTCCTGTTGACAGGTGTTAGAAATGAGAGAGGAAGGTTATTTGCTACAGTATATGTACTCTCAGTGTAGAAATAAGAATTAAACATGTTAGACAACAATTAGACATGTTTCGGTTTATTTTAAGAAAAGTAAGGCCATATTAAACTGTAAATACAACCACTTTTTCCATTTTACAACTTTAATTTCAATTTATTTTACTGTAAACCTAATATTCTATTAAAGGCACATACCCTTAATGTGACTCTGCTACCTATAAATACTGAGGGAAGTAGGGTGAAAATGACTCACCGTGCCCTCAGCCAAGGCAGAGATGACATTTCCCAGAGCGGAAAGAGATTTGTTGATGTTTTTAGCCTCATCCAGAACAGCTCCTGCAGCTCCAGTCTTACTGACCTGGAATAAAGAGTGAAGTTAAACACCTGAAGAAAAACACAGACAGAAGGATAAAGCTCATACTAAATAAAATTCAATAAAACAAACATGTTTAAGTTATTCATTTGAAGCAGGTAAACTGCAAGTTAGAAGCTGATTTATAAGCAACCCCACCCGAATGCCTCCTACCTTCTCACTACCAGCCAGGTCCACCAGGTAGAGTTTTCCACACAGCTTCTGCCCAGTCTCCACGTGCTCTTGCTTGATGTTGATCAGGAAGATGCTATGGCTACGAGAGCTGTGCTCATTCATGTCTGTACAAAGACAGGGGCAACACAACAACCAGACACAAATATCATCCTAAACTTGTAACATAACAGCTATGGAAACAATTATTCTTCATTGGAATGAAAATTTCACAAATAAGACCTAATCACATGTCGTGCTTAAAGACCAACAACATGGATGAAAAAACTGTTATCTAAATTTTAAAAATCTATATTTCCTTCGAAAGGTTGCCTGTGTACCAGGAGCGACACATTATATTTGACGGGCAAATTAAAATGAAGAGAAATTATAATGGTAATTTGCAGTCAAAAAATAAATAACCATTTAAACACGACTGTCATCATAAATATTGTCAGTTCTTAAGATCATCTCACCTTAATGTGCTGAAGGTAGTAACATATACACACATATTTTCTCACAGTCAGAAAAAACCCACTGCTGCAGCAAACAGATGGCACCATTTCATATAGTGACTGATCTAAATGCCTCTCCCCAGTGGACCGTCTCATTGGCAGATGATATCTGAAGACATCAGCACAGTGTCTGCAGACTGTTGCCCCATTAGTCCGCTGTCAGTACACCTTCCTACAGCACCATGAGTCAGCAGCAAACAGCAAAGACTATGCTGCTGGAGAACTCATTTTTAAGCCAGCCTTATCCACTGCTGCGTATAGTCCATTCATTTTTGAGGCTGGATTGTTGTAGAATTTAAATGTTATCACATTATCAGCACTGAAAAGCTGATATATATTATTTCTGCTTTACAGAGCAGACCATCTTTTATTTTGGGGTGATTTCTAAATTTCTTTTTTTTTTTAAAGAGATATAACTAATTGATTTGTCCCTGTAGAAACGTCTGTCTTGGTATCTAATAAAATCCACAAACACAAGCCCACACAATCATAACAATGACACGTTTTACTTAAAGTCATAACACACAAGGAAAAAATATATTTATAATGATGTAGCATGCACACAGGGGATCTGCATCTTGCTCTAGAGAGTGAGCTGGGTCTGAATATTTTATTGGCCTGTATGCTATCAGCTGTGGGTAGATGGTTTATAACAGCCATTTTCCTTTACAGTAGTCTGATGCAGAATTCTCACATTTAGAAACACTCTGTAGCTGAGTAAGTGCTGATGATTTATTTAAACTGGTGAACAAAAACATCTGTAATCACTTATAAACTGTTCAGTTTCATTTATAGCCTGAAAAGTGGTGTAGATAATGGATGGAGGAATGGATTTTCTATTTTTGTAGTTGTCAACTCCTCCTAACTAAACACAGTTTAAACAGAAAAGAATATCAATGGTAGACCTGTTAATTTTATGAGGTGGAGATGTTTTCAATTTTTACTCATTTTTCATTTCTTGTTGCATCATAGACAGTTACTGAAATTACTTTATCTTGAATGTGAGTATCACGCCAAGCTGGGATTCCTCTCACTGGGCCATTACCCGCACGCTGAGATCATCAGATTATGGTTGTTAGGAAGCTACAGTAGACTTCAGTGATGCCATTTATGGTGATTAGGACTTGCAGCGACAAGCAGAAATGTTAATTTAGAAGACATTAAATATCTAGAGATGCATCTTAGAACTTAATTTACCAAATGTCCTACTGATATATTATAATAAACGAAAATTATCAGAGCTGGGCTAACTGATTCTAGCCGAATTTAGTCATGTGTAGTTAATAATAATGAGAAATCTACCGTGATGCTAGTTTGTGTTTTAAACATGCAACACAGTTGATTTGCAGTGATCAACAATATAGGAAAGGCGAAGACAATCACTTTGCAGAAAAGACCAATTTCCAAAAAATGTCACAGAAAGACTGTTTTGAGTACGAGCAAACACAGTTAGCACTGAGGCCCAAAAATGCATTAAGTCTGAAGAATGCAGTCTTGGTGCCTTTGCTGAGCACTGAATCCCAAAGCTCATCTGGCCTCACTCTTTTTACTAGCGTCTACACTATAGACTCTACAGTCACTGTGAGTCAGCTCTAAACTCCACAGCAAAAATAATAAATAAATATACTGCACCCAGACTAGTTTCCTTATTCCATTTTTGCTATGTGAAATACAGTACCTCCACTGCAGTACAAGATCTGTTTGTACAGTAATAAATTAAACCTATGTAGCTGAAAAATCTTATTTGCCTTGAAACAACATGAAACAAATGTGTGAGCAGGGTATGATCATTATTCTCTTTTGTTCCACTATAACTACCACAAGATTATGACATGATACCAAATTGGAGCAATTCTCCTGAGACAGACATTCAAAGATGAACATTTACACTACACACATTTTTATGAATTTTAATCACTGGATTTACTAGTAATTACTATACTGTTACTGTGTGCTATTTTTTTGCTGTGTTGGACAAGGAAGCATCACTCTGACCTGTAAACCCACAGTACTGGAGCCATTAGTCAGCTATTATTACTGCACCACCGGAGTGAGTCAGCAGCATGGAGGTCCACACATAGCACAGGAATTACAGATCGGAGAGCTTTAATGCTAAACACACTTGTCACTTTACTGAAGACTATACTGTCAGAAAGTGGCTTATTATAGACAGTGTCATGCTTTGCTACTTCCTCCACATCCACAATAACTTTCCAACACACCCATTTACAATTCAGTCAACTTCATTTGACAGGATCTTATTTCTTATTGTGAGAATGAACGAAACTTAAAAATTATAGCACACTGCAACAAGACACATAAATATTTGTCTTTTGGGTTGTTTGTTTTGATTTCTGACATGATATGTAATATTCATGTACTGAAACAATGTGTAGTGTAGTCAAAGATGAAGACTCACTGGTCACAGCAACATGGCGGTTAGCTTTGCCCTCATCAATCACATCCATAACCTCATCGGGGCTGGAAACAAAACGCTCAGTGCATCCCTGAGGAGAGGAGAGAGAAAACGAATATGCAGCAGATTTAATATTGTGGGTCTGATATAGACCACAAACAGGTTTTCACCTGAAAAGACAAACATTTAAAGTGCTACTTTCACAAACCTTGACATAAGGCACCCTATTCTTATCTTCATGGACAGACAGATTGGTCTTTGTCACTAAAAATAGAGAAAAATTAAAATGTATTTCAGAATGAAGCCATAAAAATAGGTGTTACGCTGATGCTACATTAAATACACTGTATATTTCAGTCTAAAAAATTTAAATACTTTGTTACTAATTCATGAATCATCCATCTGCACTAACCATCCAGCAGGTCACGGATTTTGTCCATGTAGATTTCAAAGTAGGAAACCTATTGGGGGAAAAAGGAAAATTATGAAACCAGATACAGCTCGGGCTGAAATTTATCATCCTATGTAAAATTTGCTTTAATAAAAAATGCACACCAGGTTTTATTTGCAGACCCACAATACACATGAATATGAGGGGAAAAAATATGACAAGAGAATGGCGTGACAATGTCTTAACACAAACCAACACAGTTTAACATAAGAAAGAACACAAGATAAGACATCTAACTCATCTTGACCTTGATGTGGAATTCAAGGTTTTCATCCATGGCAAAGATGTGGTTGAAAATGTCCTCAGCGATGCGAGGAATGATCCCCATCTGGTGAGGGTCGTGCAACTTGCCCTGCGGCACAAAGTCACAGATAAAGGTAAAACCAGGTGTGATGCTGACAGCTATGCAGGGTCAGAGGTTAATTACAACTTCCTGCAATAAGGCCTTTAAATTCTCATTAAATGTCTGATAAATCAAAACTAAGGAGGGTAAAATGCTTGGGAGAAAAATCTTTTCTAACCACAAAGATTCAACTAAATAAAAGTAAGCAGTGTTCCAAAAACCCCCAAACCCAGTACTGGAAGTAGCACTTATGTGTCACCTTCCAGTGGAAAAATATTCCTAGTAGTGTCAGTTGTGGAACAAAACACAATGTAAATTTTAATTCATTGTTCAATAAAAATGATTACAAGCACTCAAAACTAAAAAACTGTACCTCCATGGTGTGAGTCTTCCCGGAGGAGGTTTGTCCATATGCGAAGATAGTGCCATTGTATCCACACAGTACATCTATCAGGAAAAATCAACAGCAAATGAGACCAAAGCGCAAGCATTTTTAAAAATGTTGTGTATGCTGAACTCAGCATATTGTCCATACCTTTGACAATTTGCTTGGCGCAGGTGTTGTACACCTGCTCCTGGGTGGTGTTGGTTGGAAACACTCGGTCAAATATGTACGGCTTCCCCTGTGAGGACCATGAACAAGAAACTGTTAAACAGTTTAACTGATAGAACATGTTATCTCCACACTGTAACCAGAGTAATCTCAGGACATTCAAAAATGTTTTGTTTTTTATTCTAGAAAGTGTGTTTAGCTATTATGTGATAGGAACAAGGGCACAGTAATGAAACCCAAAGGTGTTAATGCCACTTCTTCCAACAATATGAGGCTGAGTCAGGTGCTTCTCAGATCCAGGACAGCAAACATCTGAAGATACACGACTGGAGCAGCACACTGACTGATCTGCTGCTTTTAATGGTGCCAACAAATTAGACTAAGTGTCGATGCTATTATGTTTTCATCAGAACCAAACAGAACAAAAGCATTTAATCATGAACAGGTGCGCAATCATTACTGGACAACAAGTAGTCAGAAGCCCAAACCTATTGGGTAATAGACACAAAGGGCGGGGTTTTCCAGAATCCATGTATGAACACCAGGGGCGAATCTAAAATATTTTGGATGGGGTGGCCAGGCTGGGCCAGAGGCTCTGAAAGGGGTGGCACATTTGAAATGCATGTAAAAAGTTAACTGAACCCCTAGTTCTATGACATAATAAAACATACATTATTAGGAACCAAATTGTTTATTTTGTGTAAAAATGAGACACACATGCTGTTTTTGGACTAACTTTGGCTACACTGCTTATTTACACCTGGCCGGGGACAGGGCTGCTGCACATCCACTGAGGTGAATCATGCCAAGTACTCCACAACAACACAATTGGAGAAATAAATACAACTGTCATGAAGCCTGCATGATACGAAATTTGATAAAATTTAATTATACATGTAAAAATACACAATTCTGAAAATCAATTAAAACTGTGCTACAACTGATACTTTTTACTTTACCAGCAGCTGCTCATGTTATAAGCTTTGGGAAGTGATGTCAGCTCTGAGAGGTGGTCAGTGACTGACTGAGGTATCTACAGCTTAAAACTGAATGACTCATGATGTACTCATGCTGACAAAACCTTTGGACGGAGAGAAGCTAGCTGTTTCCACCTGCTGCCAGCCTTGGTGCTAAGATGAGCTACTCCTGCAGTAGCTTCATATTTACTGTACAAAAGCCAGAGTCAGTCAATCAACCAAAAGGCAAATAACTGTATTTCCCAATATGTATAGCTATTCCATTAAAATGACAGCATGCTCAGACGTTCTACCCAGTATAGTAGTAGATACCTATCAATTTAGAATGTGAGCAAAAAAGCAACATGTTTCAGTTCTTCAGAACTGAAAATACACTGATTATAAATCTTAGTAGGGCTACTAAACATATTTACATCAACACTCAGGGCTCTCTTGAGTTTTAAACTGATGCCTGTCTGAGTTTTCTAAGCATATATTTGGAAAAATTCTCATCACGCTGTATGTTGAGGGGTAAATCCACCAGAATATATTTGGTTTATTTCAAACTGTGTCTTCAAAATAACTCGTCTTCTCCTAAAATACAAACAGCTACTGTGTGACACACTGATGAGTGACTCAGCTCTGACAAGCCTTGTTGCAGAAACCAGGCTATTAAAGCCCTTAATGTCATCACCCCATCTGATACTGAGGCCACAATGCAACACTATAGCATCAGCTGCCAGGGCATCGGCCATATTAAATGTCAATAATAAACTGACTCATGTTCAGGCTGCCCCCACCAAAGGGGGATTTAACAGGGAGAGACGGTGAGACCCAGGGAGAGGGAGGGAGGGAGGGAGGGAGGGACAGAGGAGGCACACAAATAGACATAAAAGAGAAGAATCAAAGAGGCAGAGACAAAAGGGAGAAACAAAAAAAGAAAAAAAAAGAAAAGACACAGCGAGAGAAGAGAAAGCAGGCCAGTCAATGATGTATGAGCCTGCTGGATGATTATTGATCCTCTATGTAGGCAATTAGAGAGATCGGTGTCTGAGTCTGCTGTCCAGCACCATGCTGAGAGCAGAGGGTAAGGTCAGGTCGACATGTTTCCAGTATGACTGGGGAAAGTTTCCACATTAGGCCTCCCTTTGTACAGTACATTTGTCACCCAGAGCAAAATTTGCCAAAGCTTTTATGTCTACGATTGCACTACAAAATATATACAGTATATATATTTTAAAAAACAAGTGACAAAATTCTGCCAGTGCAGTTGGATTATTTCAGTTTCCAACACAAGTCAGCAGGAGAAATTAGCATCTGTTTTCTACAAAATGACTCAAGACTGCTGCCCTAAAATTCTGATAAATAGCATTTGATTCCAGAAATTTATCTAAAAAATTTCATTTTCACTAAAATAATCTTATCACAATATGAGTCAGTTGTACTCAAAAAGATTAGTACTGTGGTTGAATGTTCCTGACTAAAATGAAAGAGTTACAGATGCTCTCCAGCTGTTTACCTTTAAATTAGAAGAAATCTTCAGAAGAACAGGACAGATTTTGGTTGACCCGGGTCATTAGCTGCCATCTATCTACAATCCTCAACCAGACCTCACCTCTGCACCACAACATGTCTCTGTGTGCTGCTTGCATCAACTTAGGGAGCGACCCACAACAAAATGGAGTAGAATAGATCTTTGAGGCCGCTCACTGTAGCCTTGTTAATTATCTTACAGAGAGAAGAGAGAGCTCCACTGAAATACTCGAAATGAATCAATAGACTCATCAATATGAGCTTGGGAAACGGCGGTGCTTGTGTCCACTGATAAAAGAGGTCAGCTTGTGCCGTTTAACAACATTACACGGATTTTTGCTCTGTCAGGTCAAGTTAAAGACAGAGTTGGATGTCGTACCCCTATGTCTTTCTGCCAATTTACATCCCAGACCCTGGTCGAGCTGCTGATTTATTAATGAAAGGGCCTGTGCGCACAACAAAGCCCCTTCCTTTGCTTACCCCAATGATGACAGTGTCGTCTCCTTGGAATATGGGGAGATACTGGTCCCCGCGTAAAATCTCCGACTGGTTGAGAGGACGAAAACGACACAGCACTTTTATATTGCACTCAGCTGGGACATCGGCCATTGCGGAGATTCAAGGAGGAGGAAGGATGCTTCTGACTTCTGCTGGGAGGAAAGATGCTGCTGAGGCTGAAGGCAATCGGACACTGATCGGGTCCTAATCTGACCGTCAAAATAAACGACGCTGGATGCGCAGAGCCTTCGACCTTCTTCGAGAAGACTCTGACGGCCGTGGACAGGTTTTTTACGCGCAGCTGGACGATGTTTCCGTGTCGCAGTCAGGCGGGCAGGCTAAATTAAATGTCAAATCGCAAAACGATGCCCTACATCATTAAAACAACGGACAATGGTGATGCTCGATTTCTCCTCTTGGTCGATTTGACGCTACCGTTCTGTCCTGCGTGTTTTTCTTTTCTGTTTTCGGGTGCGGATGTGAGCCTAGCCAGTTGAAGGTGAGCTTGAAGCTGGAAGGGCAGTGAGGTAAAGCTGAAGCTGCTCGGCCTGCTTCAGTCGCCACAGCGCTATCTATCGGTGGTTCGAGGCAGGGCGTGGTCAGCATCCTTCTGTTTAAAGTGGTACCCACAGGCTCAGCATCCTCACCGGCAGCCGGAAACCAGAGCCCCGTGACGCAGCGTCACATCCGTACCATGAAATGAAGGAACTTTATTAGTTTCCGCAAAGCAGCGTAGGCCCGCTGACGCAGTGACTAATCACAACCGTATTTTCACCCCTCTCTGAGGCTTGACAGCAGCTCAGTTCATGGAAAGCATAGGAAACCACAGTGGGAAGGCAGTGGATATTACTGATTAAAAGATAACTTTAGATCTCAGTTTGAGGAGGCAGCACACAAAACTGAAAGCACATGACTAGATCCGCTCAAAAATAAATAAGTACATAATTTTCATGCTTAGAAAGTGCTCCACTTCAAGTCTTAATGCCGATTCATACTTTCAGATAGAAACTCCATTCAAAGTTTAAAACATTCAGAAATATGTCTACATTATTACTTGCATTCAACTTTCAAATGCCTTGAGCAAATAGGCTGCACACCACTGCAAATTAGAAAAAAATGCAAAATGTCAGCAAAAATTCAGGAAAGGCTATGTAATCTGCATCATAACACACACAATGATGTGATAGTCTATTGTGCCAGAACTTAGATTTAAGGAAGCAGGTGAAAATCTCAAAATCTTACAACATAAAAGATCTTAAAAATCCTTGGTCTGAATTGGATTTATGAGTAAAGTCAGCAGTGATTCAATGGCCTCAGTCCTGCTAAGTGTTTAAGACATGCTGATTAGAGACAAATAGAAAACATCCTACACTAAGGTAATAAACTGGGATTTGTGGGTCTTCAATAGCAGCTGATATCTTTGTTGCAGCTGCTGCTGGTTTTTACTGTTGGTAATGTTGTCACGACCCAGCACTATTTCTACACCTTCTCACAGACTGGAAGTGACTGTAACTCAGTACTGGTTTCAATTACACTCTCCCTAGGACTATTATTGATATATTTAAAGCCTATAAATTTCTGATTAATAAACAGGGTGGAATTATACTTTTAAGCCATTAATTACCACAAACAAATATGCCGATACGTATTTGCTGTAACAGCCAATGGCATAGTTTGCATTTAACAATGAGGAATAAAGGCAAATTCAGATGCCTACATTATAAACTACACTGCACAGTTGCTCATATACTTTTCTGAACAGAAATCAACACGCAGCTCATTTTCTGTAAATAGTTTAATATTAAATAAAAAGACTCCCATATAAAAAAGAAAGCTACAGTCCACAATTTAATCATCTTTTTAAACATAAGTATTGAAAGCAAGGGGTAGAATGAGAAAAATACTTATTACAATTCCCAGGAAATTTCACAATTCATTTTCTAACAATATAAAATCAAACACATTAACTGTACATATGTACAAATCTCCAAGTGTAGAAATTGCATAATCTGCTCTTTTTCACTTAATTTTTTTTTTAAATACAGCTAGAGATGCCAGTACTTTTGGGGCAGGGCAGCGTGTGGAGGAGGGCTCCAACAGTGATGATGAGACAGAGGGAGGAAACCCACAGTAACTCAACAGATCCGTGAAAGACATTATCGCTATCTGGACTGAAGTTTCCCAACCAATCAAAGGACATACATACTGTGCTTTCTACAAACACTGGGCTCTTGCTAATGTTCCACACCGTCAATATATAACCATCATACTTATTACATGGAATTCTTCACAACAAGTAGTGACAACACGTGAAATGCAAGTGGATCACCAAAGCAATTCACTTGTAATAATTTTCATGTTCTGCTGTTATGATGCTGATTCAAAGAGCTGTATGAAAAGAACTTCATTTTAAAACAATTTCTCAGTTTGTTAAATTATTTGTGATGTACAAACCATTAAAGGAACATCTCACAGGACATATGGGATTGAGATAAAAAAGAAAAGTGTTTTCTCTATGTCTCAGAAATGGTTGATGTAAACTGTATAAAGGATCCGTGAACCACATTTTTTCCTTGGTTTGGATGGGGGGGGTGCGTGGGATCTCAAGTCTGTTATATTCTCTTTCAGCACTTTCTGAAAGCCTTCCAAAACATTTCTTGAAATACAACCACTGTGCATCTTTGCAAAGTGCCCTTTATCTTACTAACAGACAGACTCTTTAATTAAAACAAAAACAAAAGGAAAAAAAACAATTTCAACTAACAGTTGGACGATGATGGGCTCAGCAACAGCACTACTGTCCAACAAGCACTCAGACACAAAAAGACACACCCACACGGACGCACAAGAGCATCGTTCAAGTAGAGGGGCTTTATCCTGACTCACAGTTACACACTGATGAGAAGAAAACAGTACTCCTTTATTTTTTGTTTTCTTATTGATATAATTCTAACACCAACCATTATTAACAGATCTCTGATGACACTGTCAAGGAACCATTACTTTGTGAACTAGACCTAAGTGAAAATGTATCAACAAAATTTCTCTTCGATTATTTTCCACCTTTTATAAATTATTCTTCAGACTAGATCGCTCTCCTGTTTGCTTCAGTGGTTGTCACAACAACGCTTGACATGACAACAGCATAATATTAGTGCAGTTGAATTGACAGTGGTGATGATGGTGGCGAGATGGAGGGGGAAAGAGGTGTCTAGCCACCCTTGATTGGTAAACAGCACTGACTGACAGCTCGCTCCACCAATCACTGCCTCTGAGACCTGGTGCCTCGTCGCCTCCTGCCACGGACTGACCTCTCAGGCTTCAGCAGTGCTGTCTGCAACAGGACAAGAGAAATTACAATCACATCAAGCTTATCTCCTTTCCAGTCCCTGCGGTGGAATGACTTTACCTCCAGTCAGGACAGCACAATCGCTCTTATTTGACCTCAAACAATCATTGGCTTTGTTGTGCTGAAATCTGTTTCCCCATTAGCCTGTAGCGAGCACACAAACCTGACAGCAGTGACTTTCATTTTGGCCTGTCATTAATTTAAGTTGTGGAATTAATGTTAGTTAGGGACTGATGATATAAAACTGTTGCTTGACATTTTAACCCAAAGTAATGACGATTAGCAATGGAAGCTGCTGCCAGAATGACTGAGCTTTGACAGAACTCAAAACCTACAAAATTTCTCTGATGTAATGTTTGTTCTCACACGACTTTGTTAACAGCGAGTCACTGAGGGGGGCTGGGCCTTACCGTTGCCTTAGTTTCCTCTAGTGCTGCAACATCTATGTCTCTGAAGTCTTGTAACACATTCTGTAGCCTGAAAAACAAAGTAATAAGCATGTTAGAACACAATAGAGCCAAATAAACCCAATGACAGTTATGAAAAATCAGAAAAGGCACATCTAATCTACTGATACATTGCGACCAAAGTACATGTCTGACAAATGAACCGCTGACAAGTCAACTTACGTTTGCTTCCTTTTCCTTCCTCTTCTGGCTCCACCCACTGCTCCTATTTGGCCCTTGGAAGGTATAATTAGAAATCACAATTGAAAAATATCATGATGAAAAGATCAGGAACTTAAAATATGGCTGTTCAAGTCAATCACAATGCTACAACCCTCTTTAGTCCTAAGTATTTGGTATGAAACTCCATACTAAAGTCCAAATTTTGGTGCATATAAACATTTGCCTATGAGTCTGAAGGAAACAGAAGACCTAGCTACTCACCCTTTCCTGTTCAGTGTGCAGCAATGACTCCTCGCTGGGCCTACCACTGCATCCATCCCTGGGACTGAGGTACTCTGAAAGATGCTCCTGCCTGTCCCCCACTGCCTCTACAAATGGGCACACAGCTGCAGCAGGCCCAGTGCAGTCTGTCTTAGCCTCCTCCAAGTATATGGGTGGCAGAGGAGGCTCTAGGTGGGTATGTCCCTCTACCATGACTGGTTTCCTTTGTAAGGGTGATGCAGACTCATCCTCAGTAGGTTTGGGTGTCCCCTGGGCTGGGGAATGGGCTGCTGCTTCCAGGCTGAGTCGAGATAAATCTGGATTGCGAAGGGAACAGGCCCTGCGTGGGCTGAGTGACACTGGGGCACTCGCCTGCGGCAGAGTTGGAACAGGGGCAGACGGATTATGGTGCTCCACAGGGAAAGAAACAGGCGGTAAGGCACAGAAGGGTGAAGTGGGGTCAGATGGTCCCAAGTGGGCCCCGTCTTCCTGCTCTTTAGCATTGACCTGAAGGAAGGAGGTATAAATTGTGTCCATGAACGAGGTGTAAGGATCGATAACAGACCTCCCCTCAGATCCTCGCTGGGGAGGCGGGCTGGGTTGTTGGGTAGGAGCAGGAGCAGGGCTGGGGACCACTTCAGGAACAATCTGACTGGCAGGAATGTCTTCCTGTAGGGCAGGGCTTTGTGTTTCCTGCAGAGAGACTGTCTTCTCTTCTTCTGAGGGTGGTGAAAGGTTTAGCTGGAGGAAAAAAAAAATTATAAAAGTCAAAAAGCACAAAAGAAACATCAGAGAATAGTGTGAATGACACGTTTTGCTGCTGATGTGACTGATGCCAGTGAAGATGTCCAGTTCGTTTTGTAGTTGCTGGACCTATGAAAACACTCAGTGAAGTCACAGTTGTACAGCGGTGTTACAGAGTGGAGGTTCTTCCCTTACAAAAGATCTTTGGCTGAGTACAGATACGGGCTTGCAGAGAGACAACAGACAAACTTCCTTTTGGCCTGTCATTAAGTTACTTGCTGAAATAATGTTAATAGGCAACAGCTGATATCACCTGCCTCTGGCTAAGTTTATTGTTTTAACCAACTAAAAATGAGAAGCTGATCTTTGTAAAATTGTGACTGCTAATGAGAACGATAGCTGGAGTCATAATTTAGCAAATCCTTGTAACATTATTTGCTTGCTGGCCACCAATCACTCATACCCTTTTTTTTTACTTGCATATGCAGATGTGTAGAGCCCAGCTGTCATAAAGGAGAGCAGCACTACAATGCAAGCAGGCCGAGATGCTCAATACACAGATCATAGTAAAGAAAGGATCTAGTATTGTCTTGATTTTAATAAAGTTCAAAGCAATTTTGAAAAATCCAAGTGTACATGTCTAAAATAAGACATTTTTAAACAGTAACCTTTTGATATGCTTTAATTCACTAAGCTACATTCCATTCGCCTACCTGTATGTTGTTGAGCAAGTTAATGGCTCCATCAGGGCCCTGTAGCAGAGGCATGCCCAAAGCAGAGGCCTGGACTGGGGGCAGGAGGATGGAACCTGCACCAATCCCCACCATGTTATGAAGGCCTGTGATGCCAGAAAGATCTCCTACAAAGATACATTTGATATATACATGGACATTATTACACATTGCTCCAGAATGCCTGCAGTGCCATTAGGGTTCATTCTGTTAGCTGGTCATTTATTCTTAACATACTGAAGTTAATCACTAACCTAATACAGCAGGATTAAGCAGAGTGGGCAACAACTGTTGGAGGATGGGGTTGTCCTTGCCTTGGAGAGAGAGGGGTATGAGGGTGTCGACACCAGCATCAGTAGGTACCTGGACAGTAGAGCAGAAGACAGGTGAAAAGAGGATTAGAGTTCCAGGCAAACACAAAAGAAAGAGACGGCCCCCAAAAAATACAAAGAGACTAGAGTCAGACAAATTCTTGCCTCTGTCAATATAAAAATATGTGAATGAATGCCTTAGGTTCATTAAGATAGACAGAATATAACCAATTCAAACAAACCATGTAGTTTTGGAAGGCTTTAAAACAGTTTCCAGGAAAATATTTTAGCAAGAAAAATGGTTTATGGGTTTGAGGGGGGGAGCAACTAACATGGAGGAAAATAAAAGAGCAGTTCAAGAAATTATTTCATAGTGTAGGTTTTTCAAGGAAATAGTTATAGGAGACTACCTGAGGTTGGGTATGTTGGGTTTGCTGTGCAGGAGCTAACTGGGTATGGGGAGGCGGGTGGAGCTCAGCAGAGCTCAGGGCAGCAGTGAGCAAGGTAGGGCTGAGGGGCAGGAAGGCTGGAGGGGGAGGAGGAAGAGTGGCAGGAAGGAGAAGAGACTGCAGGGCTTGGATAGAGCCTTCAGCTCCTGGAGGAATGGGGAGAAGGCCCTGAGCGACCTCCACCAAACCCGAACCCTGCAAGGTGGATGGATCCAGGAGGCCAGAGGTCTTATCCAGGTTGAGGCCCTCTAGGTTAGTGGGGATCTGCTGTGGCTGCTGGAGAGGAACTTCTAAGCTCACCTGACCCAGCTGACCCAGGCCAGACAGAGGTAACAAAGGTCCCTGCTGTTGCCCGAGTAACAAGGAAGCCATAAGCAGAGTTTGAAGGTTAGGTTTTTCTGTTAGTGCTAAATCAGCTTCCTGTCCTGGGGTAGGGGTTGTGGCTGTAGGTGCAAGTGGGTTCAAGAGGCCCAGGAGGTTCAGAGGCAACTCCCCTTGGGCACCACTCAACAAGGGCAACAGGGAAAACAGAGGATTGTGGTTTAACTGCTGTTGCTTCAGTTGATGATCCTGGTTTTGCTGCTGTGTTTCTTGTTGTTGCATCAGTAACTGCTGCTGCTCTGATTGTTGCTGCTCTGAAAGACTGTGTGGTGTAGCACTGGTAGGGGGCATCTGTGCATGTTGTCCTCCCAACCACAGCCCCCCTATGGGCAAAGAGGCAAGGACTGTAGGGTCCAAGAGAGATGGCAGACCTCCTGTGGATGAGAGCAGCTGAAGTAGCTGCTCTTGGTTCATGAAGGGGAAGGCCTCTGCCAGAGCTAAGGGAGTGGTTGAGTCGCCCACAGGTGAAGGGGTAGGGGGACTATCCCCAGGACAAGAGGAGATGGTGGGCCCAGGGCCTGTAGCTGCTGGAAGTTTGGTCACAGTGGAGGCCTTCAGGTCAACACAACCAAGCTCCTCAGATCCTGTAAAAGGAGAGACATCAATTTTAAACAAGGTTTTTGAGCTGGGCAATTGGCTAACTCTGGGGCAGTATTTAGCACTGATAGCTATATACAATACTGGCAGAAATTTACAAGCTAGTAATAAAATATCAATTTAAAAGAAAACAATAGTGCACCCATATCAATCCAAAGCAATGCCCACATACGTTACAACCACGCACTAAAAATTGTATCCCTTGCCCTGAACCAAGCTAGGACATATCAGCATTTGTACAGCTTGATTTACAGGGAGAGAACATTACTACACACACAGAGCTAGTATTAATGAGACTTGTCCAAGCTAAATATATGAGAGAATCTCTCTATATAGTTTCCTTTTCAGTAAACTGAAAATTTCTACAAATCATATTACTTCAATATGAATTTTAAAGTTTAGGTTATAATTTAGGACTAAAAACACATTTCAGACTGAAGAACATCCTCACCTGCAGTGTCATTTCCTTGGGAAGACATCTCAGCATCAGTGGTACAGTCGGAGGGGCTACCCTCCACCTGTGGCACAGTGGAAGATGCTGCAAGAAGGGCCAGAACATGGTTGCTAAGATCAAGAGGCTTCGGGGAGGTTGCTATCGCCATAGAAACACTGCCTTGAGAATTACTCATGTCCGCTGATGTTGGTATGCTGTTACCAGCGATCTCTAGTGCCACACTGCCCTGTGATAAGGCTTCTTGCAAAGGTGCCTGGGAAACAGAGTCATTTGTAGGGATGTGATTCTCACTTGGCTGATGCTTGTCTGAGGGAGTTGGGGGCATGTGCTGAGATGGGCTGCTGCTGTTGTGTAAAGCAAAATTTAAGCTGGGCATCACTGCTGAAGAAGGAGAATGTCTTTGTAGAGGACTTGATGTAGTAGGCTGAGGGTGTAAATGAGACAGCACTGATCTAATGTGACAGGAAGTGGAAGGGGGAGAAAGTGGCTGCAGCACCGAGGGTAGGGGATTAGTGTCATTGTTTGAGCAGGGTGACTGAGTCTGTGGGTGCCTGACATTAGAATGAGAGGTGGGAGAGGAGGGTGACAGTCTGGGGCTCTGTTTATTAGTGTGTCCACCTCCATCAACAGACACAGATCCAGGCTGAGCTGAAGGAGAGCTGGATGTGGAGGCTGTGGCCTGTGCATTCTGCACACTGAGCAGGTGTAACAGAGCAGACAGAGGCTGGGTTGGAGGATCCAAGCCCAGAGGTGTAGGGGTCAGGCCTGTAGTGAAATCCAGAGCCTCATTTTGTCTCGGAGGCCTGGAAATGTGTGCAGTCTGTCGAGAAGCAGTGAGCCTGGACACCTGCCCAGGCAGGAGATGATGATGTTTTTCCAACATAACAGCATTCTGGTTCTGGGCAGCTGAGGTAGAGGAGGCGTGCGAGGAGGAGGGGAAGGAAGAGGAAGCAGAGGAAAGGTTGATAACTGTAGCAGAAACTGCATCCCCTGGTGGAGGTTTCTGCTGCCCATTAGCCAGCTGCTGGGTGTCTCTTAGCATACTGAGCACTGTGGGAGATCGCCGTTGCCTCTTCCTGTGTGACACACTGCGCTCTGTAGTGGGAGGCAGGTGGGGCAAAGAGGAGGCCAGGGACTGGGCCAGAGAGTGGGATGGAGGAAAGAGGACAGCAGATGCTGCTGCAAGGGAGGGATGTGGAGGCCTAGTAGAAGCAATGAAGGAGGGAGGGTGGCTGTTTTGTAAAGTGCTGTTTGTTACCTTTGATGACTGCTGTTGTGCCTCTTTCAAGACCTCCAGAGACGAGGGCAAGCTCACTGGGTTGCTGGCTGCATTTGAGCTCGGTCCCTGGGTTATCTGGTTAGCTAGCTGAGCCTTAGCAGCCGCAGAGAGCAGGCTACTCGCAGGGAAAGAAGCTGGGTGTGGCAGCTTGCCCTGTTGGCTTTGATGGTGGTTCAGAAATGGGCCCAGAGGTAAACTAGAGGGGCCTGCAGAGTTCAACCCAAAACCTGGTTGCCCTGGACTGGAAGTGGGACTCATGATAATCTTTGAGGGCTTCAAGGTGAGAATATGAGGGTTGGTACTGCTTTGGTTGGTCAGTAAAGAAGGGTTAGTAGAGTTTAGGAGGTGGTGATTATTAGTGCTGCTGTTGCCTGAGTTCTTAAACTGCTCCAAGATGTCTTCCAGCTTGTGCTTGTGGAAGTGTGGGCTGGGGTTTGGGGAGCCACTAGGGAGAGGGGAGTGAGGAGAGGAAGAGGTGGATTTCCTCCTCTGAGGCATGTTACTTCCCATCAGTCCTCCCCCTTCTGTTACTGTTGAGCCTCCTCCCTGCTCAGAGAGAGGGGAAGGAGAGGCTGAAGGGTGGCGAGGCTGGTGGTGAGGGGAGACAGGGTTTATGTTGTGGATGGAGGGAGGGAGGGGAAGGGACGGAGAGACAGGGGGGATGCGCCAAAGGAA